GTGTGAAAATGTTCTGGAAAGAAACTACACTGATGACTCAGATGATGAAGATTAGGTGTTGGAAGTTTGGATTATAAAACATGAAAACTAGAAACAGCATTTTATTAAAAAAATAAAGGGACAAGTGGTGCAATGCATTGTCACTTTTCCAGTGAATAACATGCCATTTCTGATTTCTATGTTAACAAAAAATGACAGTCACGTTGAAAACTGTAAGGCCTGTAAGCTATGATCAGGCTTTTGTTAGACTTTATGCAAAGTCATCCCAGGCATGTATAGATAAGATAAAACCATGATTGGGCATTTATTTTCAGAAAAATTTTGAGAAAAGGACACATTTGTGGGAAATGCTACATTCGATGCATCGCTGGTTACCTGTGACCTTTTGACCTCTGGTGATCTACATATTCGTCCAATCAGAATCAATCACATATTGTCACCAACAGAACATCAACATCAACAGAGTGAGAGGTCATTTATAGATTTGGGTCAAAACTTTGGAGGAAATGGCCAATTATATTTCCCCTACCCCACTCTTTGGTGGTTTTCACAGTGTGTACTGTTTTCATAAAAACATGTGTAGCAAATTAGTTAAACCACAATACTACAGGCCAAGGAATGTGCCATTGGTGTCCTCCAAACTATTCCAAGTGACAAAACTTTTAAGTACTGGGTAGACTATGAAATCTTTTTTCTTGGCCTCTTTCGAGACTTGGCCCCTGGACTATATTGCCATAAAAGTGGAAATGGGTATTTTCAACTGTTTAGAGATTTCCATGCATACGTTTCCTGATTTGGGCCGCTCAACAACTTTCTGTCACACTTAGTAACTGTGTTCTTGGGTATTTTCCATAGTGATGAATAACGAAGGAAATTCAGCTTGTGTCACCTAATATTCACACCCCAGTAAAACAGGAAGTTATGGATGACCACTTATAAGTTCCTAATCAAACAAGTGAATTTAAAAATGAAAAATATGACTGGAAATATACTTCAGTAAGATTGTAATCCTTGGATTTTCTATGGGTGCCAATAATTGTGGCATGGACGTTTTGGAGACAAATTTCAATTAATGTCAACATTTTTTTTCTTCCAGTAATTTTACTGAAATAAAACTTTAGAGTTTTTAAGAATATTTGAGTGAAAGACCAAGAGGATACACAGCAAAGAAATTTTTTCACAGCCTGTTTTGCTCATAATCTCTAAGGGTTCCAATAATTTTTAGGGCACAGTACAACATATTTACAGCCATATTTCATTGCTGTAATTGGACTAGATTAAATTTAAAATTACCTTGGTGATTGTTTCCATGACAACATGAACTCGACTTGGTTTCACAGGCACTGATTAGCATAGTTCTCAACAAAAATTATTTCTGCGTGGAGAATCTCTGTTCATAAAGATGTAATTTAATTAAGGATGAGTCTTAAGCTGTACCTCTGACACCGGCCCAAGAAGTCTTGCAGCTGCCATATTGTGTGCCTTACAAACAGGCCTTTAACGCTGCCATTTTGCCAAAGTATTACAACTCATGCCCAGTTTCAAAGTGCTGCAGCAGTCACGACTGAAGTGTCCATTTATGCAAAATGGAGCCTGAGAACTGTGCTCGTGAGCAACTGCGCAATAAAGATTGATTTTGGTGGAACCACTCGGTGTAATTACAGAGGAAACACATGGAGGCATTTGTCCCATCTGTCCAGGTGATGTGTTCACTTGTGCAGCAGTGTCTATCAATACTGAAAAGGACAAACTATTTTAACTTTCCCCGTGGCCAAATTTGATGCACACAGATCTGGAGATACTGCAATGCAGGGAGGCTAACTTCACTGCAAAGAGGGGAAAATAATCAAAATTGCTGGGGGTTTACTGGCCGTATACAGCTGCAGCACACTGTTAACCAAAAAACAAAAGCAAGGGAAACTGAATAAAAATTAAATTACTTTTATCTAAGAAACATGTATAATTTAGCTTTGGTGAAGATTTTGACTGTCCTCGCAGTCCCGTACTATACCTGATAAGGGGAAAAGGTTGAAAGTTTTCCAGCGTCCAGTCAATGTCATTAGAATTATATGACCACAAATGGATTCTCCATTACGATAAGGAGCAGTCAGTGGCGAGGGCACTTTCAGTAATCACCACTGCCATTACCGTTCAACTGGCAGCCGTAAGCCCTTATTGTCTCGTGCACCTGGACACAGTGATGTCCCTGGACCTTCACTGCATATTTCTCGTCCGATGCACCGATTCTGGTCATGCCCACATGTGGAGAAAAGCACTTAACCAGTTTAAGGGGTGCTGGCTCTGACTGACAGTGGAGTAGACGGCGAGCATCCTACCTTTGGCCACTTCGTGCCCGGCGTCTACTTCGCCCGAGGATCCTGGAGTGCATTCATCGCCCTCAAACAGCTGGTTTACCTCTCCCTGCGCGCTCGACAGACGACAGTTATCTTCATCTTTAGTGAAAGCGGTGACCGTAAACCTCTGGCTCATCGTGAACACGTAACCAGACAGCCGAGAGGGGAGAGAGGCGGCGACTGAATAAGCCGGCGTCGGTGCAGGAATTCACAGAGGTTGCGAATACAGACAGCTGGTGGACCAGCTGACCGTAAAGACGACACGGAAAACCCAAAGGGTCCGAAAGTCTTGTCTGTCAGCCTAAAAAAACTCTTTTGGTGAATATTTTTGTTCAATAATATATGCTGTCTAACCATTCGCATGCATCAGCTACTGAACAGCAAGCTTTCACATCAACCGGTGTCTGCGTAGACCTGTGCGTCTGGGTCCTAGAGCCAGTTCTGAGCGAAGTGCAGTGCAGATGTTGCTGTTTATCTTTACTCTGACATGCCTTCATACCCGCGATATTCGACATTACTGCAATTTGATCATTATGCATCCTCAGCCCTGTTGCTTAAAACACACTTGGCGAATCGGGTTTATGATTTACATCGCTGAGTCAACGTAATTTATTATTTATCCTCGCCAAGCAAATTAACTTTCATGTAAAAAAAAAAAAAAAAAAAAACATACTGGCTCTTGGAATCCTAACTGAATCGACAGCTTACATACAGGCCTACGACATACGCTGGGCGACACGATTTTATTTGTAGTGATTTTATTTTGATTTTGTGGAAACAATAAATATCAATGACGTGCCTCACAAAAAGCCTAAAATGCTGAATTCTACCCAAACTAAGCCCACATAGACCATATCTTGCCCAAGGTAAAGACATGATGATGCGACCAAATGAGCCACACTTAAATATACAATGTTATTTACATACATTATGCGATGATGATGATGATAATAATAATAATAATAATAATAATAAAAATCTGCGTGTAGGCCCATATAGGCTGGACAGGCCTGAAGTCATTATCTCTGCGTCAACGACGTCCGTATATTTCAAAACGCACGTTCACCCATGACAGAATACAACAGCATAATTTAATTAACTTTGAAATATGTTCCTCCAGGCACTGAGTTTTGATTTTTTTTTTTTTTTTAAACGTAATAAAAAGATGACCGCACGAATGCTTATGAACTATGACGACTTCAGCGCGCAAATGAAATGCAGTCTAAGAGGCGGCCAGCAGAGGGAAATGTTCAGCACGCCATTGCGATTTGAACCGATTGACTGTGCTTACCCTCCATATTCGGGCCAGGGCCTCTCTGTTCGCAGTTTGAACATTTACCAGGGTTCACGCGGGTTGGTGACTCGTGGTCGCATTAAACATGACAACTCTAGTGCACACCAGTGAGCTCAAGCACTCTTGTCAGCACAGCTTCCACAAACCCAAAGACTCATTTTAACTACTCACAACAAGCTCTGTCAGACACTTCAACTACTTCTAGCCTACACATAAATAAAACAAAGTTACAACACGAGTAAGAGATATGCCAGATTTAGAATGCGTTTTTTTTTTTTTTTTTTTTATACAGGTATAAGGCCTGGGAAATGACCTATTTGTAGAGTTGATCACAATTTGTAATTTGTAAACCTCAGTACAGCTCACTGCCACGTTACCAGTACCTGTAAGAGAGTAAGCCTTCAAACTTTTTGATCAGAGCTTGCGTTGATATTCTCAAGATGCCACAAGGTCCAGTCTTACCCTTCAGTAATATTTTTTAACCAGGGATTTTCCACTGAGAAGACGTTTCTCCTTTTTAAACGCATCCTGGGAGAGATGCCAAATGAACGGCTACAAGTGAGACAGAGAGAAATAAGGATAAGGCCCCTGGAGCAGTTTTGGGGCTCTGGCTCTTGCTTAAGGGACCAAGGGCAGAGTTCTTATGGCAAGCCGTTTTAACATTTAGTAGCTAGACTGGATGTGTGTTGCAGATATCCGCAGTTCAATTCTTCCTAGTAAAAAAGAGCATTTCAGATATCTACAATGACATTCTTCCTATCCACAATTGTCATTTCAGATATCCACAATGTCATTCTTCCTAGGATAAATGATGTCACTTTTGCCATTCACGTGAATGGGGTTTCTCATTACAGATATCTACATTTCAGTTGCAGACATCCGCAATGTGAATTACGGAGATGTGCCACTGAATTACGACTAGTTGTAACTCCAGTTTGAGATATCAACAATTGAATTTTGACTGATCAAAATTCCAGTTCAAGATATCTTTAATTGCCCTCAATTCAAGATATCTACATTGTCCTTTCAGATATCTCAAATTGGAGTTACAGCTAGTCGTAATTCAGTGGCAGATATCCGTAATTCACATTACGGATGTCTGCAACTGAAATGTAGATATCTGTAGTGAGAAACCCCATTCACGTGAATTGCAAAAGTGACGTCATTTGTCCTAGGAAGAATGACATTGTGGATATCTGAAATGACAATTGTGGATAGGAAGAATGTCATTGTAGATATCTGAAATGCTCTTTTTTACTAGGAAGAATTGAACTGCGGATATCTGCAACACACATCCAGTCTAGCTATTAAATGTTAAAACGGCTTGCCATAGAGTTCTTCTCAACTTCATCTCGCCAAATCAGGGCTCAGACCAGCACCTCTTGAGTTCAGTCAAGCGCCCGACCTCTAGGCCACCCGGCTGCTTCATTCATACAGTGGAGAGCTGCTGGACTGTCTACTTTGACAAAGAATGTTACTCACTGTATCACAAAAATTCAGGTACATTGTAAAATAGGATGCAGGACCCATCATTCTTACAGATAAGATACTGAAAGATGCAACACTATATGATATTGATACATTTTTCCTGTAGAGTGCAACATAAATGCAGGAGCTTATTTTTTTGTGCAACACACTCTAAATCTCACAAGGCAGTACAGCAGAACTCTTTACCCGAATCATTTCCCCCGGACGAGCCCGAAATGAAACAGTCTCAGGTAGCGTTAAGAACGAGGTGGTTTTATTGCATGGCATCATATCAGAACTGATGGTGAAAGGACGAGTCTATAGTCACTGGTGAAATTCATACACACCTAACTATTATTGTAGGGTCCCAAGTTCTAAACATGGGTCACAAAATTATAAGAACAAGGCTTGCTGATTACTTAACTGCTCAAAAAAAAGTATGTTTGGAAATTATACAGTTAATGATTTGACACTCTATCATGCTCAGTCCAAGCAAAACTCAGTTCAGTCTGATCACATCAGCAGTTTTTTTTTCTTTTTAACAATGTAAAATAGAAATGCAATCTGTCAGCTGCTCTTGCTTCAATAACTGAACTGCAGTAAAAGTGCCCCATAATTGCAGTACATTTTTAATCGCTATGTTGATTGACATAAGTTGCTTATTGATGATTTTCATTGCTTTTTTCTGTATGAGACTCATCGATTTCATTCCTTCCTGATTACCTCTCACTAGTGAGGGTGGATTTAATCTCGATATGATGTCTGATTCAAAAGAGGTTTCCATGAGAATACGCAGGATGTGATTTAAACCGTACATAACCTTACACATTTTTTTTTGAGTCTGTCCATTCAATTGTGTATGTCATCTTTTCAAAAAAATGTAGCGCCTCAAAGAGTAGAAAACCACACACATAATGCACGTGTGTATGCCTCCCGGAGAATGTCCCCATTAACCGTCCATGAGTGACTGAGTGAATGAGAGTGAGTGAGTGAATGAGTGAGTGAGAGTGCGTGAGTGAGTGAGCAAGAGTGAGTGAGCGAGTGAATGAGTGAGAGAGTGCGTGAGCAAGTGAGTGAGCAAGAGTGAGAGATTGAGTGATGACTGAGTGAGCGAGTGAATGAGTGAGAGAGTGAGTGACTGAGTGAATGGCCCAATCCCAAACCGGTCCCTTTTCACTCGCCCTATCCACTCCCCCTCCGTTTGTGCGTTCCCGCGAAGGGTCCGCCACATTCAGTGCCATCCCAAACCAATAAGTGCGGAGTGTAAGTGGCTGATTTAACCCTCCGCAGCGAGTCTACACCGATGCAAGCTTATAAACCCCCTCCTTTCAAGTGCAGCACTTATTTTGTGTCTGGGATGGAAGAAATGCTGCATATCTACAAATGTCAGTTCCATGCGGCTATTTCCGAAAGAAAAGTAAAACATTACCTAACCCCAAACGGACATTTGATTGACTATTTCATGCGCACATCACGATACTAAAGGTTACATTGAATTTTGAAATGAACATGCAGATGAGCACCCGAAAAAACACTGAGTGAGTAGTTTTATTTATTGAATCAATGATCGCTCTTTTTTCACAATGTGCCATTTCATGCACAAACGCTTTCATCTTTGTCAATGCCACGTATTCAATATTTTTAATATAAATTTTATTTAATTACATTATCCTCTCCAAAATATTTTGGGCACAAAGTGTATCATTAGGGAACTAGACTGTTGTATACAATGCAACGCACCTATCGTTAGGCATGGTGATGATTACCTCCGCTTGCCGTTGGATGAAGGGGAAGGGCATCCCAAAGTTTACACACGTTTCTACACTCTCCCCCTTAATGGAGCTCCCTCCATAGCAGTGAGGGAGACTTCACACGGAGAGACACTTGGTAGTGAAGTGCTAGTGGAGAGGGGCCAGTTTGGGATTGGGCCAATGGGTGAGTGAGTGAGCGAGTGAGTGAGCAAGAGTGAGTGAGTGAGACAGTGAGCGAGTGAATGAGTGAGTGATGACTGAGTGAGCGAGTGAGAGTGAGCGAGTGAATGAGTGCGTGAGAGAGAGTGAGCGAGTGAGAAACCATATTTTGCAAATAGCCCATGGCAGCAGTTTGCAGTGGTGTGGGAAAAAAGCTCCATCAAGGCAAACCACTATTTTGCATTTGTAACCACTAGAGCAGGGATCCTCAAATCTGGACCTCAAATCCAGCCCAGGTTTTCATTTATCCCAGGTCAGTAAATGAACATTTAGTGCCTCGGATTGGCCAGACAGTCATTACACCTGACTCCCAGGTTAAGGGAGGGTGGAAAACCAGCAGTCCTTGGGCCTTGAGGATGGTGATTTGAGGACCAGGGGCCTTATTTATAAAAATTTGCGTGGATTTCAATACATACACACAAAAAAATAAAAATGACATTTTGTGGAAAATAACCTAACTTATAAACCTATGGGTAAAATAAACTGCATGGAATTTTCATTTATTTAATCAGGATGGACTTGGAATTTATTGACATCGTGCATAATCTTTATAATTTCCCTTTTTTAAGTGTCAAGTTTGTTTTCATAAATCAGAAATCTGCAAAGAACGTGCCATACGTATCTTTTTTCTGCTTACACACTGTTTATAAATGAGGCCCCAGGGCACTAGAAGGTAGTGCAGAAAAGGGAGGGGGAGGTTTCACCTCAGCCCTGAAAAAGATCAAAATAAATGAACAAGCATACTCAGGGAGTATAAGCATTTCACCTGAGTACAGCTTGGACTTGGCTTGTGACATTCCCTTTCTATTAGCAAATATGAATCATTATATGCATGCATTTCAGAAAATAAAAAAATCAGTAACAAATAAATTTTATTTGTACAACAAATCATGTGGTAATGTCATTCTAATAACACCAAGAAGCTTTAGAAATATGTTATGACCTTGCTAAGCTACAGCTGCAACATCAAAGCGTTGAAATATTTGGTCTTGGGAATCCTGCATGTGCTAACACTTCGGATCTGTCTGTAATAGCACTTCTACTACTTAAGCAGAAAATGAAATTAGGTCAGGCATTAGGGTTAGAAATGAGCGAAGCATTTATTGGATAATGGATTTTAAAGAAATTTTGTAGTGTATTCAAACTACTATCCTCATTGTGTTTCATTCATTCATTCAAAAAAAAATCTGCTGGCTTCCAGATCCATATAAGGTCATGTATTACAAGAAAAAAAAAGAAGTTGAACGTTTTCCCTTTTTTCTCCACAAGCGCCACTTACTAAGACATTTTCATAACTCAGATTAACCCAAACAAGTTTCAGTTTCGACAGTATAATTTCATGAAGCGAAACTTTTTTCTTTTTTGAAGATTCAGCAGTTAGATTTCAGAAATTCAATTTGATGAACTGGTTGTTCTCTCAATTGCTGCTTATTCTCCTTTTAAATAATGCAAGTTTATGGAGAGATGCCTATACATGCCATGTGGTTTTGCCAGACAGAGAAATCTTTCCACTGCCTTCGTCCATACCCAGGTAAATCACATGCTTCTCAAACATTCATAAACCAGTTATCCACACCAGTCACCAAAGAACAGCAAAGTAATCTGATAAAAATGTATTTACCATTCCAAAACAGAGAAAATAAACAAGAGAAAACCGGTAAACAACCAGCAGACTACCGAGGTCCGATGTATGATCCTGGAAACAGACAGAATCAGATGACTGCAAAAGTCAATAACAGGTGTGGGCATGTACACGCATCAAGGACCATATTAAATGAGTTACTGAGAAAAATAATATGGTTGTACGCGACATAGTCAACAATATTACAGCAGCTAACCAAATGCAAGCTACTCATAGTGCAGAGAGGGATTCAGGAGTAAATGCACAAGAAAATTGTTCCTCTAGGAACAAAGCGTTTCAGAACCCAGCCTCTGGAATACCCTTACCCAGCACATTTTAGCTATCCCCCCCCATTTTCACACCCAATTCAGCTGATTCACTCCTCAAAACATGGCATTTATCAAAATTTGACTTCATGTTGGACAACTTTCATACAGCAGTTGTTCACTTTTTAAGGGAATGTTATTTATTAATTTATTATGGAAATAATTGAACAATAACATTCCAATTGAATCCATGAAGAGATGGGCATGCACTAAATGTAATAGCTGGACAAACACAGCGAGGGGTCTATGTTAGTCTCAAGGGATCATTTTGAATTAGGAATACGTGAAACGTAGGGTATGGTTGAGTGGATGTCATACTATACAATGCCATTGCTAGTATAACAATAGCTTACAGCCAAAGCATTGCTGTTGCAAGTACCCAGCAGTAAGTCCGCAACTAGTACACCATACAGTACCGTTTGGGAAATGCTCATCATACATATAATGGTTATATCTATTAAAAAATAAAAAAAACAAACAGTTGTCAGCGGCCTCCTCTCATCAGCAGTCAATTCACGCCTTTAGAACAATGTTGGTTGACCAATTAGTAAATCAGAATCCAAATCCAATGACTGCAGCAGATACAACAAAACAAACTGAAAATCCGACAAGAGCAATATTCTCCACAATTTAATTCTAACCAGAGACACTGAGATAAAAGGCAGTAAAGTCACACGTAAACGTCCACACAGACCACAAGTTTTCCTAATTGGATACATATCGCTATGTTAATGGTTGCTAATTATGCATACATCCTTAGCAGCAACATTTGTTATAATATCTTCACGTCCATGATTCAGCGTAGCCTTACGAAAGAAAAACAACGCACAATGTCCGTCAATCGCAGTCCTTTGACATAAGTAATATCGCAGTGTTTGAAGTTTAAGAAAATGAAACTTGAATAATGTTATCAGATATTATCGGTCATTTAATTTAACGGTAAGATTAGTCCATGAAAGATGCGCAGTTTCTCAAGTATACTACATACTTCGTATTCATCCGCGTCGACGACAAACACCAATTTCCTGTTCCGCAAAA